AACCCTGAACCTCAGTCCTTTGCAGTTTATGAGCCCACCATCCACCCAAACCACCCCCTGACAACCTCAGTGAAAGGTAAGGAAGTGTCCTGGACTGGAGAAGCTGTTGCCAGTGAGTAGTGGCAATTATATTTGCGCCAAAATGTCATTTTTAGGAGACAGGATTGTTGTGGTACAATAATGACTCACCATACAGTACTGTAGCTTTCCTGTGCAGTCAAGGATTAATTTATTACCAACATTTTGACTGTGCTCATTTTTGGTTTCACCACTGAAGAAAGTGGTTTAGACAGTCGGGCTGAACGTGGGCTTGGCTCCCCCCACACATTGTAAGTCAACATGCAGCTTTTCAATATCAATATCACTGAATTCATATTCATTTATCTCACAGCAGTAAATGCATCCTTCACTGAGGCTGCAGTTTAAAGCAGGTGTCCTTAGGGGGCGCTGTGGGTCAGGGCTTTGGGCTTTATCTGTAGAGTCTAGCCCTTCCTATCGTCTTCATTGACATTTAATGATAATTATAACTTGGGTCACACCGGGGGCAGATGCACACACACACACACACACTGGCTCACTAACAACACACCGCCTGGTTAAAAACATGAAGACATTAGTGGTAACCTGATGCTGAGTGAGTATTGATCTACTCTCAGGGGGTTTAGTCAGTGAGAGAACACCAGACAGCACTTTATCACAGCACTTGACCATCTAGGCTAGCCAGTGCAAGTGTGTGTGTGTGTGTGTGTGTGTGTGTGTGTGTGTCTGCATGTTATAGACAGGAAGCGGGATCTTTAATAAAAAAGCTTTGTTATGTGTAGATATTATATTGTATGTGTAGATTGTTTTTTTTTTTAAACAGGCATTATCTGTCAAACCTGTGTTTAAAATCCAGCGTCATGTTACTCATACAAATTTCAACCTTGTGTTTCATTCATTACTAAAAAGTAAATTTCCTTTTCCTTCTTTTCTTTCCTTCTTCCTTCCTTCACCACCTCTCCCAACATCCTCCTGTGAGGTCCTGACTGACACGTTCAATCTGCCTCCATAACATTATAAAGACCAGACTGAGTAGCAATCAGACCTATGTATGTCCGTGTGTGTGTGTGTGTGTTTGTGTGTGTGTGTGTGTGTGAGAGAGAGAGAGAGAGAGAGAGAGAGAGAGAGACCAGGAGAGATTTCATGATTATGATTGCTGAGGACACATGCTGCTCAAATTCTTCAATGATTGGCTCCAAGTGAAACACAAATGCCAAACAAAACAATAAACCCTTCGAGAGAGAGAGAGAGAGAGAGAGAGAGAGAGAGAGAGAGCAAGAGCGTGTGTGTGTGTGTGTGTGTGTGTGTGTGTGACAGAGCAAGAGAGAGAGAGAGAGAGTAAAATGACAACATCATACACTTGGAGTTCTGTTTCTTGAAGATATCCAGACCACAATAACATGAGCAAAAAAGTGACCAAAGGGACCTGAAAACAAGGAGCAGATGGAAAAACAACCACATAAAAGTGCACGTGTGCGTTTCCATGCGTGTGTTCTTGTATCTATACATTACACTATGTACACTGACTGCACTGATTTAGCCAGTAGCCATCGGTGGACTGACACAGTGTGTTGTGCTCATTTTAATTACCTTCTCGTTACATGTCTTGCTTGTTTTCTCCATTTTCCAACACATAGCGATCCCCTATCCAGTCCCCCATCTACATTCGCAGCTTTTTCCTCAACACCCCAACACACACACACATTTACACACACTGTGTTCTCCTCAGAAGCCAAGCCAAGTCAAACTACATAGGTGCTAGTCCAGACAGACACGGTTACTGTATGTCTTCTGTGTCAAACCTTCAGGCAATTGGCACATCTCTCCCGTCTCTGTTTGTCTCTCTTGTTTTCTTTCTATTTGCCTCTTAACTTGATATCTACCTACCGTTTTGGCTCCAGTTCAGAGCCATGTTGTCATTCTGGTCAGTAAGAGCTGGTCCGCTTTTGATCTCTTTGTCCTGATTCATTCAGTGTCCCCTTCTTTATCGCTCAGATGTATGATTTATGAGTAGCACACTCATTCGTGTTTAGTACCTAGATACAGGTTTAACACACACATTGCACCCATGTACAGTAAATACACACACACCGATTGCTTTGTTGTGCCTTTTAGTTCATGAAAGTAAAATCATTGATGTTAAATGTGATTGATTCTCTTTGTAATGTTTTGGGACAAAACTAATTTCCACACAGTTACAAAAACAATATCCAGCGCTTTGAAATTACTCAGAAATAATGTGTTTATTTCATCTGATTAGTAGAAAAATGGCACTTTCACTAAAATAACATCTGACGTATTCACCCCAGTGGCTCCTCAGTGCTCTCTGGTCAACATGGAATGACTGATCATTCAAAGGGGATTTTGAGAAAGAAAAAAAAAAGGGGGTTGGATACGCTGGTTTGCCGTCATTCCTTTGAGCTAAAGCAATGGTTTATACAGGAAGAATGATGATTTGCAGAAAAAAAAAAAAAAAAAAAAAAAAAAAACAGCAATGGTTTTTATTCCAGAATGTAAAATCTGCCAGATCATTGCTCAATTGCATTTAAGTTTTCACAATTTGGGATCATTTTCAGTTTGATAACTATAAACCCATTAAAGTTCCCATATTGCATTAAGTGAAATTTCCATGTCTTTTGATTATAAAGCAGGTCTAGGTTCTACATTAATACTGTGAAAGTATCAGAGCACTCAGTCAACAGAGAAATGCGCACTGTTTTCAGAATCTGTCTTCAAAACGAGCCGTCGGGACTTCCTTAACTTTGTGATGTCACCACAAAGCAATCACCTGTCTCAGCCTTGCCCTACACACGACCCACCCGGGTCGAAAGAGCTTGGGTTCTTTTGATTGGCTCACTGACCTGTTGTTGCTGGAGTGCCAGACAGAAGCCTGAGAGAGGAGATGTAAAACTACATTGAGATGGTTTTTGGTAAAACCACAAATACAGTAAATTTTCTTATGGATCAATACTTCAAATAAAACATTGAAAAGTGTCAAATGTGGGACCTTTAAAAATGCTTACTTATAAAAATGATGTGTAGTCAAAGCTTCCTATTCTTTGAGAGAGTTCACATTTTGGATAAAGGTATGAAAAAGAAAATCCAAAATGTTCTTGGAATTTCAAATGTAAACCTGAGAAATACATCTTTGCCAATTAAATATGGTAAGAGTAATCACTCAAACTGACACATCAGCTTTTCTCTAAAGACAGACTTATAAAGTTTGAAATTTACTCTGGATAATCTGGAAGGGTAGAAATCCCCCAAGAGCACATTTGAGCAGCATGTGTGTGTCAGTCAACCCCTTTGATCTCTCCAACCTATAATTAGCCGCTGAGAAAAACTGGACTGAGAACATTCAAATCATGATACAACATGCAGACGAATACAAATGGAGTGAGAGAAGACGCCTCATGACCGCTTGTGTTTCTCTTTCTCCCTTGGTGTGTTGTTCTTCTACTCAGTCCTTTTTTCTCTTTTAACTTTGGGCCCTCTGTTTATTTTTCTCAATTCTTCATTAGTTGTAAAAAACATTAGGCAGGGCATTCAGCTGTAATGACTCATGAGATCAGTATCAGTGTGGAGATTTCGGACGTCGTGTGTGTGTGTGTGTGTGTGTGTGTGGTGTCGTGTGTGTGTGTCTGTGTAGTGTGTGTGTCAAGTGTGAACAGAGAGAGAGAACGCATGGCAGACAGCTAGAGACAATTAAGCATTGCTCATAATGATCATCCTTTGTGCTAATGTGGTGCATGTAGCAGACATGTCAGCCACACTGGGGCATTATGGGAATACTGGAGATTTCCAATGAAGACAGTCATACGGGCTCAGAGTTGCATGTGTTTATTAGTTTGTTTTCAGCTTGCTTATAGTGTTTTCGAGGTTCATGTTAGATGTGGTGGTATTCAATACATTAACAGTATTTTTTAGTGTAATTTGTTTTTTCAACTGATATTGACAGATGTGCAGGTTAAGTCACTTTCATTTACTAAGCCCAAAACCAAAAATTTGCCTTAAAGGGAAAAAAACAGGCAGGAAAAAAACATCTTTTTAATTAGATTTATTAGGCTGATCATTAAATATTTGCATGACTTAAATCCAATGGTCCAATTTCTTAGCCATAAAACAACAACCAATATATAGAATTAAATCATAAAAGTTAATACATTACACATGGACATATTGTAAATTTAAGACCAAAAAGACCAGCCCTCCAATTTGAAGTCTCAAACTCTTTTTTTTTTCTTTCTGAAAGCTCATTAGAAAGCCAAACTTCATTTTAGCCTGTGTAGTGCTCCTTGTGATGAGTAGATGGGTAGGTGGATGGATAGATAGATAGATAGATAGATAGATAGATAGATAGATAGATAGATAGATAGATAGATAGATAGATAGATAGATAGATAGATGGGTAGGAGGCAGAGTCTAACACATTATTCCAAAATCTCCCATATGCGTTCAGTTGGGTTGAGATGGACAGCTTGAACATTTTAAATCAAAATATTTCCATACTGAAGACAACAAGAAAGACCCCATCTCAACACAAGCTAACATATTGCTAATTTTTTGAATGAATGAAGCATTGCATTTATGAATTGGCACCGAGAGTTGCAAGGAGGTGGTTGGTGTGCATGGCGGATGTACAAAGTGCAGGACTGTGGGACACAGACTGGGACATTCATAGTCCTGTCTGTGATTAGGTTTAGGTAACAAAAGTGCTTGGGTTAAGTTTAGGGAAAGATCATGGTTTAGGTTAAAAGGTTAATAAACATGTTGTGTCTGAAGTCACTGTTGACTTTTTCTGTTAAACCAGACAGCAATCTTTCTTTAAAAGCTGTGAGTGTGTAAAAATAACTATCAAAATGTTTAAGAAAACAAATACATTGAACATTTTAACTGATATGTTCAGTATCAACATATTTGTGACTTGCCAAATATGTAAATTGACAACAGATTCTCATTATGTTAATAGAAAACATAATCACAATTATTTTTCTTCAAAATACATTTCCTGTTGCAAATTAGTTGTATATAAACTTAATTTCTAGGAGAAAGGGTTGCATCTTGTAGTTTTACCTCTGCAGTAATGCAGAATGTTTATCTGGGTATTCTTACATTCACTGACATTACGGCTGGAAGGATTTTCACAGTCGCACGAAAAAATGGAAAAACTGGTTCTGTGAAAGTGTGTTTGATGGTGTGTACAGGTGTATTTCTATCAATGTCAAAAAATGATAGTAGCCCTTGGTCATAATCTAGCTGCACTCTGATCTTTTTGGGTAATAAATGCCTTGATACGGAAGTTATGTGTGCATCAGTCACAAGTTCGAACAAAATATCACCGGGACCATACGCGTAAATGCCAAAGATCCTTGCAGAGGTTTGATGCTTGGTTCTAGTAGCTACACCAGCAGCCCAAAAACCATCCACCTCCACATTCCAACTGTGCTTCCCAGAGCTAAAGCTTCCATAGCCGAGAACAGCAAAGGGGCCTTCTCTCTCTGGGTTGTTAGGAAGCAGCTGAGCCATCTTACTTTCTGACAAATGAGTCAAATTCTCTGATAGAATCAGTTGTGGGCCGCTGGTATTTGGGTCCAGAGTTACAGGGGCTGAATGGAAAAATGAGAACAAATCTTTATGGGATTGTTTTTCAGGCAATTTTTTAAATTGATGATTTGATTATTTACTAGTAATAAAACTAGAGATTATTATGCCAGAATACATTTCTTACTGTATTGGATTATACTCTTCATCTTCTTCCAGACTGTGAATAGCAGGTTCCCTACATGTTTGGCCTCATCAATCAGCGCTCCTGATGGAGTCTCTGGTATTGGCAGGTTGCACTGGGATCTGAAAGAATATTAGACAGCCAGAGATTACCAGTCAAATATTATGAAACACTCTGTATTTATAGCATTTTTGTTTGGAGCAATACACTCATGGTACAGCAAACTGCATGCAGCATAAGCAAGGAATAAATCACATATAGTTATATTAGTTTTACTTGGGGTCAGCTGATATTTGGCATGGGGTTAGTGCTAGCACAAACTCTATGATAAATATTCAATATGTTGCTTGTTACAGCTGTCTAATATTGAGTTTTCAAAAGACAGCTCCTCACCTCTTCAAAGTGGATTTGACATTCTATCAAAAAGAAAAAAGAAAACAAATTAATGCCTCTACTTTTGTTGATGCTCAATATTATGATCAGAATTATCACAGATAATTACTGATTACCATCATGAATGAGAAGTCATCAGCTCTCATTTCTTCCTTTATGGTCTTGATTTTATCTGTGAGCGAGGAGATCTCTGCATTCAGATTCAAGTCCTGGATGTTGATTGCCCTCGCTCTTGCTGTGTTGCCTCCTTCCTCCACTGCAATCTATCTGGCAGCCTCCTCTGCTCTCAAGGAACTGGTACAGCTTCTGAAACCTCTCTTTATTGTCTTCTCCGTGCCGCTGAAGCTGGAGCTGAGGAGGAAAAACCTTTTGTGATGAAAGAGGCGACACACGATACGCTGCCAATGCACTCTATGAACTCTAATGTTGTGACTTACCTTGTATGTGGTGGCCATTTTATCAGCAGTTGAGTATTTGGTGTTTTAAATGACCCCAGTTTTGCCTTTTTAAATTGCCATTCAGCCAACTTTGAGGTTGGTCTTGCCAAATAAAAGTAAGTTACACAGCAGATCAGTTAAACAACACTTTTTGTTTGCTATAAAGAATTATTTCTAAAATTTTGAAAAGTACTAAACCAAAACCTCCTCGTCAGTTGCTTTATTAAAATATTCTGCTCACCTTGTGTCTTCTGCTGCTTTCATTGATGGGGACGGCAGTTGTGTTTCTTATGTTTTTGTGCTAATCCCTACAAATCAACAGATGAGCTGGCTGAATCATCCTGACAGAAGAGTTGCAGTTTCTTCTCAACGTGTGCAGCTTGCAAAGCCCTGAGATACCCTGACAGTCTCTCTCTTGCTTCCTCTGTAGTCTCATGCTGTCAGAGCAGGTTTTCTTAGAGCCAGATTAACGTGGGGGCTGAGCTTGGAAATATTTCCTTGCACACTGGGCATGCTTGGAGAGTCTACTTTGGCCTCCACCACTCCTGAAGACAGTGCTTACAGAAGCTGTGGACCGCCACAACAAGAGGACGGGATCCTTAAATATATCACAGCACACAGGGCAAGGTGAAATCCGCTTCAAGACTGTGATCTATGTTAGCAGCCATTCTGTCTCGTTTCCTGCTGTGGTTCTCTGTGTTTCTTTCTGTCGGTTTTTCTCGTGTGGCTCTCCCTCGGCCACACTGTAGTTCGTTTTCAACAGATTCACTCGTTTATTAGTCCAGTCAGCGCTCCAGGTTCATACTTTTTAGCTCAAATAGTAATCAATTAAACACCCATGAACTCTCAGATATATAATCCTATACTTGGTATAGCACGCATACATACGCACCCCAGTTGTCTTTCTTAATTTCTTTAATGAGGTTCATTTAACGAGAGCGAGCACCACCGGACGCTGACTCTACACACCTTCTTCTCTTTGCTTCCTGTTTAAAGCGGAGGCGGGTTTGAGTGTTTTCTCTGCAGTCTTCCGTCCTGCCTTGTGAAATTAAGTTTCACACTCATCGTCCGCGTTACTTGAAGACTGAGCAGAGAAACAGAGTGGAAACAGCTCATAATGATTGAAGAAAGGCTTTGTGTGGCATAAATGAATTAACTGGGCTTAATAATGATTAAGTTGGCCGCTTACGGTGTTGTTTTGGGAGGGAATATCTCAGTATCATGACGACAGACTCTGCCAAGAGAAATTCAGGACTTCTGTGGAGTGTGCGCGCGCGGCGACTCGCGTGGGCCAGGTGAGTTATTTCTTTCTTCGTGATTTTGGGACTTTTGCAGTGCGTGATTATCTCACATGCAGCAGGTACTGTGTGTTGTGTTGTGATGAGTGGAGTGGGTTAATGCTTTCACCCTGACCGTTCAGCACAAGGCCTGGAGCAGGAGGATGCAGTTTATGTTACTCTATTCTTTAAATCAGTAACTAGCGAAGCTGTCCGTTTCCTTACTTTATATCTCATGTTATAAATATTTAAAAAGTTCAATTAAATGCATGGCGATCCTAGACTCTGAAGGCCTCAGGCAAGAGGGCCATTGAAGGGATTGTGCATAATTCAAACTTCCTAACATTTATATAATACACACACACACTCACACACACACACACAGATGTTGCAGTGTTTCCTGCAGGTTGAGAATGTACTTGAGGTGGTGGATGGCGCAGAGTGTGAATGATGTGCATACAGAGACTCACGCAGTTTAGAGGAGGAGAGTGTAACCCAGATTATTTTCTGTTGCTACAATTTGCAGATGTCCCCTAAACACCTCACATGCAGACCAGACCAGATCACATCATTAGAAGCAATAACTACAGCACATGTCATCAGGGGCCCCACTTAAGGGGTGTTTGGGGCAGCGGTGGTGCCTTTGGAGGAGGTTTAAGGGATTTTATCCTTGTCATTGCAAAATGTGCCAATATGTGGGATCATCTGTGAAGTCCCAGGATCTCAATTCTTGGTAATTAACTCTTACAAGATCTCTCATTAATATTCAGTGGTGGGAGTGTATGGCACATTTGCCAAAGCAGGCAACATCATAAATCCTTCAGGAGCAGATGCACACAGGCCATATACTATATACACCTAGGACCTAATATCGGAGCCAATTAAGTACATAACATATTTTTTGATAAAACATGCTGTAAGGACAAGTTATTTAGATTCTAACTTTTATTTAAGTCCCTATAATAGTCAATGTGTATGTTGAATAGTGTATTATGCCAAGGTTACGCTTGTTGTAAAGTGTACAGTTATACGGTTGTAGTTTAACGTCATTTGCCTTCAAGCAGTTTGATGCTTCTGTATAATGCTAATAAAACGTGGAGAAGTCAGCAGAGTTTGGAAGTTAAACATTTTTTGACCGTGTTACATGTGATGGATTTAGCGCTACAAGAATGTAGGACATCAAGTCCATAATGGACCAGGCTGACATGCAAAATTGGATCACCTGCTGTGACACTGGTATGTGGAAATAACCCCTCGTTTAAGTTTTCCTGCCCGAGTGTGAGCACATTGGGTTTTCACAATAAAGTTGGATTCATTCAGTGAAACACAAGTCAAAACAAGATACTCTAGTAGCTTAGGTTTTTGGTGCACAATGTCCACAACACCTAATATCAAATGTTTCAATATCATAAATCAAAACGAAGACGCTGAATGAAATGAAATCACTATTAAAAACATAATTTTTAGGAGACAGGGTTACAGTGTTAGATGCACACTCACATGTGTCCATTGTCTCTATGTTTCAGCCGCTTTCTTTCAGCCGCAGTACTCTTACATGCTCCCCCCCCCCCCCCCCCCCCCCCCTCGTGCCCATGTGCACACACTTCATGTAAAGGACACACACAAGCTACATACATCAGATTCTCAGCAGTGAAAATCACAAGTGATTTGCCCTTTGACCGCTGCAGCAATAGCTACCAAAGGCTAACTGTTTTAACATGACATCACACACCACCATGTGGCCAGCTGATGTGTCTGGTCTTTCCCTTCTCTTTGTCTCTCCGCTCCCTCTTTTCCTTTTTCTCGGACAGACTTTAAAGGGAAAACGTAATGAATCTGTTCTGCGCCGTTAAAACTTTGCTTAAAAAAAAATCGCTTAAAAAGATCCTGACAAAAGAAAATCCACTTGCCTCTTGTTGCTTAGTGTTTAGTAGTTTAGTGTTGCCTGTATAAATAGTTTGACCACTTCTAGACATGATATTTGCCTCAGGAGGGAGCAGCATTTTTGTAGCTTTGCGTATTTGCATTTAGTAATTTTCTTCAAAGTTGTCCATATTCAAATTTGTGTGGTGTGAATTAGAGTTTAAACCTGTAGTTTCACCTACATGTTGCCCAACATCAGCCTCAGACATCGTTTGGTTCAGTATGGGCTGATTTATCAGTGTGTAAAAAGCTAGTGATCAAACTGGCGGTCCACCTAGATTTCTCACTGAACAGTGTGAGCTCAATTACATAACTTCATGATAATGTCTCTCAGACAGCATATGTACTTTTCCCACTTACCTTTCCTAGGCTGGTGTAATTATTAGGCCTGGGGATAGTGGTGCGGGGGTGGATTCTTGCGAGACTGTTCCTATACTTAAATATTATGTCCATAACCATAAAACATTCAATCCACATAAAGCCAAGTGTTCTGGATCTGGCCACAGTAGCCTCCCCAGGGTGGTGCAGTAAAACCGCCCTGAGCCGCCATTAGGTGGAGGGAGCTGGAAGAAATACTGGACAGAGGCTGGGACCGAACCAGAGCGAGAGCACAGCTGATGGTAAACTAATTTTGTTGGCCTGATACCCCTCCCTCCCCTGAACTGCACACACGTGCAGTACGTGTTGCGTACACACACACACACAGCGTGCACATCTATGTGGAACACACATACTGTACTGTATCATGCTTCCACACAAGTGAGGAGTCTCTTAGGACCCTCAAAGTGGGACAAAATCACACACTCTCTCTCTCTCTCTCTCTCTCTCTCGCTCTTTCCATCTTTCCCCTCAACAGTTCTCACACACACTCGATCACCATCTCACCGAGTAAGACATATGCTCCATCATTTGCCTTGAGGGATAAAAGGCCGGGAAGGAATTCAGTGAGACGTTGTAGCACTTCTCTGCAGACTCTTGGAGAGAAGTGCTGTATTTATGCGTATTAACCACACAGCTTTCCTGTCTGTGAAACACAATGCAAGTCTAAATCTGGACTTGATATTCAAGGTTGACTTTTTTCAAATGAAGAGAAGAAGACATCAGTCATGTTCTTCAGATGATATGTAGCTCCAATTACGGCTGAAAGGAGTTATATGTTAATGCCAGCAATCATTTTGTAAGGATATATGTCAAACTTTTAAATGTTAAACGACTTAATTAGAAGTTAAAGCAGCTTTTCCTGCCACATGAAGGTTGGAAGCACCTGAGACTAAAACCAGCCCCAGAGCTATTTCATAAACCTCTGAAGAATAAAGGGATAAAAGAAAATGGATTTCAATGGTTTTGAAAAAAGGAGGCCACATACAACAAACCTTTGTAGATGCAGAAATTAGCCAAATTAATATTCAGTTTTAACTGTCTTTCACTGCGTTATGTGTCTCTTTTTGTCACTGGACACTAATAAAGAGTCAGCGAAAAAAAAGATGTAAGTGTAAGCAGAGCAGCAGCTTCTCTGCAGGACATTACAGGAATTTACGATGTGTTAAATGTTTCCTTTGTTCCTCCCTGTGGCAGCTCGCTCCGGCAATTAGGGAAGGCAGCGGCCTGCAG